TTCTGGGATATGAAAGACACTTTAAAAGTATATTTTTTACAACTTAGATCATGTAATTTGGTTAAGTATTAGTTGAGTTATGATAGATTTTGTATTTGAGTGTACTTAGTGTGACGAAAATCACGAATCGCGCGTGTGACAATATTTATGAAAATGACAGTAATATCAACGCGCATCCTTCCGAACAGGATAGCGGCACAGCCTCAGACTTTCATCAAACTGCAAGCACGATTCCTGGACTCCTGGGATCTCAGCTCCATCAGCCAATGTAGCATCTAAATTAAGTACACAGATTCACAGAAGGCGTCAGTGAAAACTTAACACTGCCCCACTCCGTTCGCGTCCGAGTGCGAGTTTGTTCCACGCTCGTGCATAAACACTATAGGATTGTCCGAGCATTGCCTTTCAATGACTCCAAGCACTGACAATCTGCCTACTATTTGAATATTAATCGGTAAGTTAATAAGCTCCGTGCCTTTTTATATTTCATGAGTGAACATGCACTTACCAATCAATGATCAATACTTAACATAACTTGTCTCCGAAAATCAAGGACCAAACACAGCCAACTGCCCGTTGTCAATATCAATATCAATTTTCTTTCCCAACTACTGTATGCGACTGATCTTCACAAACCATGGAACATTAATAGAGATGGCGAGAACTTTAAGAACTGCCCCACTCTGTTCACTGACTCTTGTGCTCCTTGTTTCCTATGGTTGAATAACACAGAAAATTAATGGATGTGTTTTATTAAAGAGCACCTTAACATTGCCTTGCATCTGAGGGCGGAGGGCTGAGGCCTAGAGCATCAAATGTGAAGACCCACAAGCAACAATTAATTCACATCTTACTTATTTCCACTCACTTGCTCCTTCCCTTTTTCCAAACTTCTCTCCTTCGTACACAACATTAATATACATTGAAAAATACACTTTGACTTGATCTGACTCTGAGAGTTGAGGGCAGTACACACTACTTAATAGCACCTCATGCTGAAAATGCCTTAGTAATACCAAAAGCACCATTATCGCCCCAGTATCCTGACTAGAACTCACCCAGCCAATGTTAATCCGGTATCTCGGCGACGGACGTTCATCCTTCCTCTCGGAGTACTAGGATACAGACGAGACGGGTCAAGTATGAATTAGTATTTACCACTAATTTAGTAAGCATAGGAACAGAATAGTTGTACCGTAGGGTGATATACAATAGCATAGCTTTCTGAGTGCACAGCACAGCACAGCCTCAACCACTCACTACTGCATACACACTACATTAGACGCCAACTCAACTCCGAGCCTACTGTATTCACGGAGTTAATATTTATACTATTTATTTACCCGGTATACTAGTAGGCGCTTGCTACTAAGTGTGTGGAGGCAATACAGGTACTGCATGCTTCTAGTACAAACACTAATACCCATACTAGTAGTAGTACTCGGATGATGAGTACGTACGTCCGAGATCGCTATTTTAGGTTTCTGGGTGTTCTAGGCGCATGATACTACCAGCTTCTTCAGATGTTAATACCCATAATAGTGTCCATACTAATACGCGGAATAGTACGCACGTCCGAGATCGCCACTTCGTCTCTTTGGGGTATTAGACGCACTAGACGCACTGCTACTTATACAAGTACAAGCAGAGACAGGAACCGTGTTGTATCGTTGAATCATTTTCGTGATGATGGCAAGTGAGGTTGTGTGCATAATGACAGTTTGATACTTATCTATATTCCCATCCAAACCCAATTGTGGTCATAGAACGAAGTCGTGGTGCTCGGTATGCTATGTCTGTCAGATGGAGACTTCGAGATCGCTACCTCTTACTGCTTAGCTATCTAGGTGCACTGGTACTCACACAAGTACAAGAGGAGATAGAAGAAAAGTCGAGTTGTATTGCTGGTTTGATTCATTTTCGTAATGCTGTTGAAGACTAGAGAGGTGATAGTGAAATATGAAGAAATGTACAGCATAGTCATCTCATATCCAACGTTTGTTTCCATTTTCCATCCTACATCCCGCCTGCCTCTCTTCCGAATACAACACTGAAGTGCACCACAATTCAGGAAGGAGAACAGTCTTGAGGGACGCACCTACCCCCGACTATGCCTCAAAAGCGCCTTACTCCTAAACGTCGCATTATACTGCAACAAATTATTGATATCCCTCACCCAATCATCCTCTCTCCCTGGACCAGCACCTTCCCCTCCTCCGCCCTCTCCCCCTCCTCCTCCATGGCGGAATTCAATACCCCTTTCGACGTTATCTCTCGTGAAAAGTGGTTCCGCGATGCTCGATCGATTTATGCAAGGAATAGGGTAGGGAGAGGCACGGACGACGACTGCTTCCCCTGGGTTAAGGACACGAGCTTCTTGTCCGTCCATTGATACATTTGCTGGTGCGCGGGAGCGTTCACCAATCTAGGTAGTTTGGTGAATCAGGATCAAAGTTAGCATTAGTAATCTGTGTTAGAGGTGGAATTGGAATTAAGGAGGAATAGAAATAAGAATTGGAATTGGAGTTGAATTGAATTTGAATAATTGGAGTGAGATTATGAGAGTGAGAGGACTCGTAAGAACTCGGAACGCAAGAACGAGACATTTTTTAGAAGGAAGAGAATAAAGTGGAGTGTTAAATTAAAGTGCGCCGTCGATGCTGACGTTAGAATTAGAATGAGATGACGGATGGCAATGAGATAAGTTTAGAAGAATAATGCCTCGTGGGGACTCGGAACGCAAAGAATATGAGATGATTTTTTTGGTAAAAAGCGCAAGAAGGACGGAATAAAGTGGAGTGTCGAATTGAAAGTGCGCCATGACGTATCCCACATCACGAAATAGAATCCCCGCGAAGAAAAAATCCGACTGAATCCGCAAAGAAACCGAAAGTATCCAAAGCCAAATCAAATCGAAGACAAAGCAAAATAAAATAAAGAGAAATGACAAAACAAGAAGAGTGGATACCATGCCATATCCAGTATCCCGCATCACGAACCAAATAGAAAATCCAAAAGACAAACAATCTCCACTCTCACAAAGCCAAATCAAACTCAAAGACTCACCCTAAGCGTAACAACAACACTCCCTGGAAACACCAGAGGCCTAAAGCTCAAACTCCGTGGACATATCGGCGTCAAAACAAGTGCACTCAAACTCGGATGAACGATTGGACCTCCTGCACTTAAAGAATACGCTGTACTCCCCGTCGGAGTCGCAACGATTAAGCCGTCGGAAACGGATTCTGTGAGGTGTTGACCGTCGACGAAGGCGTCGATTGTATTTAAATGTGGAGAGCGGCCCCGGTGTAGGGCGACTTCGTTCATTACTTGCCATGCTTCTGTATCGTTGTCATTTGGATTTGGGGAAGAGGAGGTGGGGTGAGAGGGGAGGGGTGTGCCGGTACGGGAGAGGAAGGAGCAGGAGAGACGCATTCGGAAGAGAGTTGTTGCTTTGTTTTGGAAGGCGGATTCGAGGGCGGGGGCGAAGTCGTCGATGTCTGTGAGGGATTGAGGAGGTTAGCGTCATTGGTCGTAAAACATAATTGATATCGAATAACAGATAATGAATAGTGAAAAATGAATAATGATAGTAGGTAATGATAGTGGATATTTTTAATGGACAACGGATTACAGCAAAGCCAAGGAAGACGCCAAGGCACCAAAAGCAAGGTTAACTCGATACGCGGTGCGGTGATGCAGTGCGGTGTAAGCGTTACTGATCAGCATCATGGCCGCACTGATAATGTCGAAGTCAAAGTCAAAGGGCCAATGGAAGACGCCGAGACCGAAGACCAAAGAACGAGACCAAAGAACGAGTGAACACAGGACTAGTGGGACCGAATAGCGCACGTTGTGCGGCTATGGCATAATGGCACAAGGCCCGCTCCGTCCTACATCCTTCGCCCTCCCGTCCTAAGTGACTTGTGCTGAGCCCCAAAGGAACCACATGCAACAGAGTTCCAGGTCGAATCAACTCTGTGCATCCGATCAAGCGGTGTAATAGAGCAGCACAGACACCGCTCCTTGTCAAAGTGGTCATACCACATACCATCTGCACCCGGAAGCAGCACCGGAAAGTCCAGGCCTTCCAACCTCCCCAATCCATTCAGCCCTTGAATTCTCCTGCCTATGACGACACCACCACCGACACAAATAACCAGAAAAGTACTCACGAAAAGGAAGCAAAAACCCCAACGTCCCCATCGAGAAGCTTAGTACGGGCGGAACCGCCCCTTTCTTGAATAGGGATGAGGCATGGAGGATAGTCCCATCGCCTCCGAGGGTGATGACGAGATCAATCGGTGGTTCGCCAGGACGGCCTGGGTCCCATTCTTCGCAACCTTGTGGGATGTCTGGCCTGTTCTCGTGGAAGACGCGGGTGTTAGGGTACTTGGCCCGGATATGGCTATGTATTTATGATTGATATCAGTGTTTTGCGATTGTGGTGGTAAAATAATAAGTGGCAAATGTATATTGTAAAGATGGCAACGCACGAAAGAAGAGAATCAATAGCCTCTTTGACAGGTGTTGTCCTGACCTTGTTTACGATGAGTACGTTTCGTCTGTCTTTCGGTGAGAGTCAGACTCAGAATGTGTGCACACAAATGTTGAGTCAAGTAAAAGAGAAAGAGCGCACGGCAATTTTGCGGTCGCGTCTGCGGAGGGCGATGACGAGTAGCATCGCGCGAGAGTGGGGAGCGATAGAGTGCTATAACGACGGGCTGAGCGGAGGGCGAGTGCGGTGAGCATCGCGATATTACAACAGCTGAGCTACTGTGGACCAGTCTGTGGTGCTCCAATCCAACCATCAGGAAGTAACCGGGTGGATTACATAATATGCTAATTGTTCCGCGCATTTACTATTATTTATCTCTATTTGGCACTCAATTGATTTGGTTTTTCTCTTGCGCCGAGGCTGGCTACTCAGTAAGTTTAAAAGACCTCGATTGGTCTGAGCTCCTCTCCCGCTCTATACTACTCCTGGTCCACTCAACTCCTGCTCTCCACTCAATTCATATCAGCTCTTTCTCTGCACAATGACAGAGTACGACTACTCCCCCGACGCCGTCGAGCGCTACATCGCAAAGCAGAACAGCGTAGCCCGCTGGGTCGACAGCCAGGAATACCAGAAACACGCCTACCGCAATCCTTTCGTCCCAGATCCCAAGGATTCCGCCAACGCACGAGACGGTAGAAATCTCTCTCGCTCCGTCTCCACCCCACCTGTCGACCCATACGCTCGCCACGCACGCCCAAGCACAGCACACAAGACCTCACATCGCGACAATCGCGACCCATATCGTGGCATCTACTCCAGCAATGGTTCCAGCCAGACTCAGTCTACTGCTGTCCCGACTGTGCACAGATACAGCAGCGGTGGCACTCACTCGCGAAGCCATTCTCAGAGCCAGAGCATCCCGACGACCCATCGCGTCCCTGCGCCTCCATCCCGATCACGCACCTACGCGTACGCACAGGGCAACAGCGGCAGCTCAAGCACAACGCACCTCCCAGCCTCCTCCCGCTCTCCCGTCCGCTCTCAAACGCTTCCAGCTCAACCGATGGCGACCCAATACACATCTGCACCGGGCCAAACAGTCGTCATGCAAAACGGGCGCCAGACATACGTCGTCGTCCCGCCCCACGGCACGCGTGTCCAAGTTTGCGTACGTACCATTCCTGATTTCATTTCCCTTCAGCCCCCGCACATCCCGTGCCTGCGTTAGCTAAACTCGTACTGACTACTTCCTTCTTCTCTTGCCTTCTTTCGGTTCCCCCACTGGTTGATTCGCTTTGGTTCCGACCTTTCATTTCGCTTACATCGGACCGTCGTCCGCTCATCCGTCCACCATGCCACCACACATCTTTCGCGCGTGTGTGCACTTACGTTTTATATCCGACACTCCCACACGTCCCGTGTCCACTTCTCCACTTCTCACAATCCAACTCTCCGTGGACCTGTATCGGTCTATCCCAATTCGGTTTGGTCTCCATCCTGCTCTGTCCTACTTCGATTTTGAATGGAATAGTCTCCAACCTCCCAACCCGTCTCACCAACCTACGCCTACCCACAAGGTCAACAAGTCTACTACGCATCCCAACCCGTCTCACCCACCAACACGAGCAAGCAAAAACAACCCTTCCTCAAACGTATCTTCAGTGGCAACGGTGGAAGTGGCAGCGGGTCGAATTCGGGTTCGAATTCGAGTTACGCGAGGAGGATGCCTGTGTATGCTGCGCAGGGAGAGAGGAGGAGGACGACTTCGATGCATTATTGAGGGCCGTTCGTCGCTCGGGGGTCGAGCTCACCTGAGTTCTTGCTTTGGCCTTAGCTCGACTTGACTCAACACCAAGCCGAACCACTCGAACTCAACACAACTCGGCACAACGCTCCGAACTTCTTCACGTCGCGTGTCGGTGTCTTGGTGTACAAAACCAAAACGAAGCAAGCCAGTACACCTGTGCACACTCGATCGAAGGAAAGTTTGAACCCCGTGACCACGCCATACCCGACCCACACCATACCCAATACACCACCAACACACGAACCCCGGCCGGCATCTCGGACGGAAAACACGGACACGAAAAAGGAATTTCCCTATTAAACAAAAGAATCACACACAGACAACGCAAGAAAAGAAGAAAAAGGTCGAGTGGGCGAGGTAATTACGGTTTACGAATTACGATTTTCGAAGGTGCACACATCCAACCTCGGAGCTTTTGCCATGGACCTGTTATGTTTTCGGATGGCTTAGTGGAGAGCTTGTTGGTTCGGATAACAGCGCCTCCTTTTCCCCCTCCTTACCTCCTGGGAATCTGGGAATCAAAGCGCTTCTTTTCTTTTCCTCGCCACACCCTTCCTTTTCCCTGGTTCTGACTTCTGGCTTCTTGAAGTTCGCCGACCGGAAACTCTCTTTTCCTCCTTGCCTTGCCTCACTTTGTTTTGTGTGGTGTTGCCTGACCTTACTTCACCTCGCCTCGGTTTTTCTCTCTTTGGTTCTTTGACACCGTGCCTCGCACTTCGGTGTTAGCTCCTAAGCAAGAAGCAAGAAGGAAGGACGCCGCCGCCTCGGTGTCTTTTCTTTCGAGGTTCTGTTTTTACGTTTGCGTTTGCCTGTGCCGCCGAGCTTTGAATAACTTTGTCTGCGATACCTCCTTACTCCCGTCCTCCATACCTCCATACCACCATACCTCCGCCTTCATACCTGCATATCTCCCTACCGTCATACCTCCTTCTTCAATCTCGTGTTCATGTTCTTGATCCCCGAGCTTCGCCAGCACTCCTGTCCTGTTTCTTTAACCTAGTTTAGGTGTCTTTATTCACTTTCGTTCTTGTCTTGTTCCCCTTCTCCTTCCCTTTCCCCTTCTTGTTCTTTTCCCTTTACCGTTCCCCCCCCTTCCCCCTTCTTGTCCCTACCCCTTTACTTTTGCTTCTTTGATCACGGTTCGAGCTCCAATCCTTCGAACCGAACCCTCGCGAACCCACCCGGACATGGCGCACGTCACACATCGCAACATCGAAATCGTAACCCGGCTGGACTGGAACCTTTCTCCCCCTGGTGATCAAGTGCGGTGCGAGCTCCGTTACAGTTTCCGCTCGGGCTCAGTGCCCTACAATACAAGCCGATCCGATTTCAATCCGCTACCATCCGCTGCTATTCGATAATATTCGATATGATGCGATAATATTCGATGCGACACGATATCGTTGGATACGATATGATACGATGTAATACAGTGTAATACGATATCGATTACCTTAACGATCTCGCTGGGCGTCTGTCTCCGACGTCAATCTTCAGCGCTGGCGTCAACGTTTGTATTGTGGATTACTGTATGGGTGGCGGTGATATCCGATGTTGGCGTTGGCAATACCGGTGATACTGTATTTGATATCCGGCGCCTTCCGCGAGCGTTCAAGCTCGGATGGATAGATGTCAGTCACTGGGTCTGCGTCTTTGTTTCCTTCTTCTTTTTCTGTTCTACATTCATATTCTTGTTCATGTCCATGTCTTGTCCCCACTACAACGCTTCCCATGGATCCTTAGGAACTACACAACACTTCATGGACCTTTTTCATACCACCAATACTATCACACACATTTGAACGAACGAACGAACGAATTTCATACTTCAGGTGTTTTTCATACCTCATGTTTTTTTACGCTTCATGGCTACATACCTTAGATCTCCTCCCTTTCTTCCTTTCTTCATTTCCTTGTCTTTGTCTCTTTCTCTTTTATCTACTTTGTCTGTTGCTTTGCTTTCATATAGGAATAGGAACGTTTTGTTTCATGACGTTCCCTTGTTCATGTTGTGTCGAATTATCCTACATGGTTATGCAAAATAGTATCTTTTACTGGCTTTAACAACTTTTTGATTTATTGTGCGTGTTGAATCGTATCACTATATAGTAATCTGCATGTCCCTTCGATCTCAGATGGAATGAAGTTAACAGTAACATTCATGTCAAAGTATACGTAGATGTTGATCTCTAGACCTTGGATACTAGAGGTTGGTACTTGGATTCTAATACTGACCTCCACGTTCAGAATAAACTTACAAACAAATTTGATCCCAAGTCCCAAGTTAGGCATAGCTTGTAATGCATCTATCTCCTCTTCATTCTCTTCGAGTTTTATGTGCCTTCTTGATAGGACTTAGGATAAATAGGAGGAGGAGAAGGAGTGAGAAGTAGAAGTAAAGGTGATATTGTGAGACTGGGTTCTTTTAACTTTTATCACTTATTGATATATGAATTGTTGTAAATGAGTTTTATTGGAAGAGTTGTCAAACAGGGGGACCACTGTTGTGAGTCACACTAGCTGGATTTTTACAGTAATATCTGCTTGTGAAGATTGAAGATACTTACATAAGCATTGCCTCCAATTTCTACACATCTATACATGTAAGGTGAGGGCACAGACCTAAACTTTATATCCTGACTTCTGGTACACAAAGAGCACACTTTTCTTAACTTCTTCTTGATAGGATATAGGGTAAGAACAGTATACGTATCCTTGTAGGACTGGGTTCTATCACTTATCACCTGTTGACTTATGTATTGCTGTCACTGAGTTTAACTGGAGGAGTCTTTGCATAGATGGATATTAAAGGGTAAATTGACACTGGCCAGTTTTTCAGGCTGATATCTATTTGTGAAGATAGAGAGATTGTAATTTTTTACTTGCGAGTGTTCCTTCCGAACTATAACGTAATATCATTAAGTGGCATATATATATATGACTGAGGATTGTACTGCTTCGAGTTGACTCACTCCAGAACGCTCGCGACAAATTAAGCAAAAAGCTGCGGTACGGATCCAAAATCTTTGACAGGGGAAAGGGAAGGATGAGAAGAGGTCAGTCCGGAACTTGACATAGACGCACAGCCGTTCATACTGCGCTGTTCCTGCTTAGCGAATCTAGGCTTTTGGACTGCGGGATTTGTGATTCTGCGGGAACAATTCATACATTATTATTGCTGTGCTGCGGGACTACGGGACTGTTGGATTGTGAGAGCAACTCAGCTGTTTAGCGCTCTCTCGATCACTGCGCATTTATCATTTTCGAGCATTTTTTCTCACCGTGACTAACGGGAGATTGATACCAATCTTAAAGTGCCTTTCCGACGTGTGAGGAATCCCAGAAGATGCGCTACATTAATCAGCAACATGAGCAACTATTTTTTGTTGTCGTGTTATTACCAACTTATCATGTAGTCTAGTCAACACTTCACATGTGGAAGCGCGTGTCAATGACGCGGACTGCAACGAAAATAACAGCTCGACTCAATTGACGCTCGGGAATGAATGAATACTATTCAATACACTTCAGAATCGAACGGAGACTAGCTTTTGACTTTGGCTTTGTATTCGGCTTTATGGCGCCTCGGCTTCCGCTCTCGCGTCTTTCGTCACTCCGGGTCTTTGCCGTCCTACAGTATGTCATTCGATCTGTACGAGTGTATACCTGTGGAAAGATAGGTAGAATGAGAGACATCACGGGAATAGTTCCTCGCCTTCTCGAAACGACTCAACTCGGCTTGGCTTTCCGTCTTCGGAGTGGAACATCTTCCTTCAAACACGCCTCCTTCAACCGAAAGGAAATAAGTTGATAGTGGCGGTCCCAACAGAAAGGAAGTGCAAAACAAAACGTATCGAGCATCGAATCGAGGAGTGAACACGCGTCCGGATCTTACCACCATGCGACACAGGCGAGGCGAACGCCATTCCCTTCTCGTCTCTTCCCCACACTACTGCATTCAAAAAGGATTTTACCATCTCGTTTCTCGAGACTTTGCGTCCTAAATATAGTGATTTGACGCTGCGTGGTGATGTAATGATAGGAACGCGGAATGCTTTACGCGACTTGACGAATCGGCATGGAGCGAGACGGGATGAAGCGGTGTGGGGAGAGGGACGAGGACCACCGAAAAGCAAAACCCCGTGGGGCTGTGAGTCGTGTACGATGGCTTCCCCACGGCCGAAGAGCAACTGATGACTTTGACGGGGTGAGGTAAGATGGTACACGCAGCCATGCCGGCATAGCTTAGATATCGTCATCCATCCTCCTCCTCGGCACAGCCCAGTCCGGTCAAGATGATAGATGGGAAACTGCTATTCTGCTTAGATTCGACTTCCTTGTCATCTTCATCTTAGGCTTCTGCGTCCCTTTTCTCGATTCCTGTAAGCAAATTATTGGACCGAAGCTCATTAATACACACGGAAGCAAACTCAAACTGACTCAACTTACTCGGCGACGTTCATCTTCACCCCGTTCCGTTCATTAATTCATTCATACGAGCTTGAGCTTGAGTTACAACCGAAGTCTTCGACCTTATCGCAACTGGCTAGCGTGGGATGTACGGAACAGTAAGGGTAAAAGAAGGCTAAAGGTATGCTCAGCGATGCCGAGGTTTGCGGAAGGCTAGAGCGACTAGGCGTTAGTGCTCCTACTTGGTCTGGGTTGGGCTTACATTCAGTTTCTCCACGCCTTACCCAAATCTCGCCTCCGTTCGCGCCTACATAATTTCCGGACTCCATGATCGGACGAACTGCGACCGCACAGATTGTAACTGACTGTGGGAGGAGAAGGAGAGGTCCCATGCCGCAGATCAAGTCTAAAACCCGGTTTGCACAGTGATGACGTCCACACATGCATGCCCAGCACGTCCTCGTGTATTCCAAGTCACTTGATCGCGTTTAACTCCCACCTATCTCTCGAAACACGCGTTAGTATTGAAGTAGCTAAACGCTTTGCTCGGTCTCGTGAGCTGTAATACACACTTTTCGTATCGGTTCTCTATCTTGGTCATTGAAAAAATTTAGAATATGACGTCGCCAGGCGCTCCTGTGTGGGATTTACGTTCAGATTCTATTTGTTTTGTCAAATGTGAGTTCTGCAGGCGGTACTTATCTCCTCTCGGCGTTTGAGAACGCGAGAATGGGCGACGAATGATTCTTGAAGCGTAAGTTGGTCGACACAAAGACATGCTTTTCACTCTTGAACTTCCGCTTTCTCTTCAGCCTATTCTATAGACGCTGCCTTTTGTTCCCATGGATCCTTTCCTTGAATCTGCGGAGATAGTCGGTAAGCGAAAGGCCTGAGTCCTGTATCTGGTGACGTCGTAGCCGTTTTCAAGGTTCCCCGTGGGGTCGACATTCTGCTTATCCTAATTAATTACCGAGGATAAGACGTTAGTCGCCTCCTCTGATAGCCGCGTCTTGCACCTTGGGTCCTGCATCATACGTATTGAGTCCTACCAAAAAGACGCTCCGCATGTTATGACTCTACGAAAAGAAACGATCAAGGCTCCAAGTACATGTGTTGTGGATGTGCGGGGACAGCGAGGTTGTGCGCGGCAATCGGTGCCAATGCGTCATACGTACAGTATGAATCGGTGAGAAGGCGGAAGGGCACAGTCCCTTGGGGCATCAACATTTAGACTAGCGCAACGATGCTAGGTTGTCATGAAGAACAATAGCAGTAGAGCATAATGCGTCTGGTTAGTCGTGAGTGGGGCGCAAAAAGTTTTCGCCATCAGGACACAGTAATATTGCAGGAATAACGCGGTGTACTGCACTTCGTGCTTGCAAAAGACCGTATCAGATACACTCTGCACCCACATACCTCGATATCCAATGTGATGCTGTCTCTTGTCTGTGGCTGTGTATTTGCGCAAGTTACCTTCCTGCCATTTTAGGAACTATGTCTTTTCTTGCTTGGTGTCATGATAGAGTCATGTGCAGCCACAACACCTATATTCTGTCGGGCGAGATGGCCGAGCGGTCTAAGGCGCTGGAATCAGGATCCAGTCCGAAAGGGCGTGGGTTCGAATCCCACTCTCGTCAATTACTCTTCAATTTGGTATGATTACTTTTTCCTGAATTGACTGTTTTTTCCATCCGGAGACCAAGAAATGGCAGACTCTTCTCAAGAGGTTGCACCCTCTCTTTTTCACCCTAAAAAACGAGCAGTTGGTTATGTCGTTTCTCAAGAGCTTGCCAAAGTGCGTTCTATCATTATTTGGCTTTATTGTAAATTTGTTGTTTATTCAAGGTTCGGTGGTTGATATTTTAGACATCATCTCTTCTTCCAAGTAACAGGAATCGCTCATTCCTGGTCCACTCACTAATCAAAAGCCTCGGACTCCTGTCTTCTGCCAATCCAGAGAATGGTCAGTCGGCTACTCTTCGCATTATCCGACCACGCCTTGCTTCCGTGGAAGAGCTCTGCCTTTACCACGACAAGGACTACATCGATTTTGTCTTAAATTCTGGCAATGAAACTGCATCATCACATCAAAATGTTGAACCAAGCTATGCTTCAGCTGACTTTGGTGTTGAAGACGTGAGTCTTTTCCGACTCAATTCGGAGTTCAGCATCACTGTATCCAACAACTACATTCTCAGGATTGTCCTCCTTTTCCTGGACTGGGAAGATATGTGCAGATGGTGGCTGGTGCCACACTCAGTGCTGCTGAAGCCCTCAAGTCAGGAAACGTTGATGTGGCAATTGCTTGGGATGGCGGAAGGTATGTGCTTTTGGCAATGTTCAATAGGGCTGAACTAAATAATTTACATTAGGCATCATGCACAGAAATCCAAAGCGGCCGGATTTTGCTACGTAGCAGACTGTATCATCGCGATTCTATCTCTTAAACGCGGATCTGTCTTGCGCATTCATCCAGATAGGAGGAAAGCACGCATCATGTACATTGATTTCGACTTACATTTCTCGGATGCCGTCTCAGAGTGCTTTTACAAGTCTGCGTCTGCGGGCAACAACGCTCAGGTTTTGACTCTATCCATTCATTATACGGCTCCAGGGTTTTACCCCGCACATCCTCTGTCGTCACTGCCGGACATCACATCTCCGAATTCAGATCCTTTCACACTTTCATTACCCCTGAAGCAAGGCGCTTCTGCAAAAACGTTCGCAAGGATATGGGGTGTCGTCCAAGACGTAAAAGATGTATTTAAACCCGATTACGTTGTTGTGCAGTGCGGTGCAGACGGATTAGCCGGAGATCCGCATGGTATCTGGAATTGGAGTGTTGGGAACGAAAAGGGGAGCATGCAGTGGTGTGTAGGCGAAATTATTGAGAAATGGGAGACAAAGGTATTGCTTTTAGGAGGAGGTTTGTTGTTTTGCATCTATCCACTAAATAGATTTCTTTGACTAACAATCCTTGGCAGGAGGTTACAATTCCGCAAATGTTGCCAGAGCCTGGGCTTCTTTAACATCGGGGGCCGTATGTTAACATCACTCTATACACATCATAATGTCTAATTTGTCTGTCTTAGCTCGGACGTCATTTCCCACCGGATACCCCGATACCAGACCATATTGCTTTCCCATTATATTCTCCGTCATTCACTCTGGACGTACCAGCAGGGAACATGCGAGACGAGAATTCGGACGATTATCTGTGTGAGGTCGAAGGAGTATATAGAGACATAGTTTGTAGGCTTGAGGAACGATGCCAATAGGATGAGAGAACGTATTTTCCATTTGTGTTTGCTTTCTCGCGAGGAGGGCCAGCCGGTTTTGTAGATAACTGCAAATCTCAAGGAGGAACGCATTTGATAAGCACAATGTCGGCTGCTACAGCAGAATCCCTGATAAACCGGGAGATCCATCAAAAAGGACAGGAACACATAGGACAAAATGAGTCACTATTATTGACAGAAGAAGTGGACATGAACCATTTACTAAGCATCTGTTAACAGTAAAAGTATGGCATTAAAACAGTAAGCACACAAACGAGCGGCCAGGTTTTGCACCCATAACATACAAACCCTGTCAGTTCCGCCGTCGTATATGTTGATATATCCGCTTCATTCAAACCCGATTTATTCTAACCCGATTTTGCAATCGGTAGAAATCTTTTGTTACATAAATAATGCAGTCACGTCTGCTCCTCCATAAATCCGGAATTTAAAACCACAAACACTGCCATAATCGGTGCAATCCTGAGGACAGAACACCATAAGTTTGGGGCACTAGTTGAATAAAGTAAGTGATTAGTGGTATTGCGCGGTGACGAGGTGGTGGAAGACCTAGAAGGAAGTGAGAGTGACGACTTGCCAGACTTGATGAGGCTTTTTTTGCCGCAGTCGTCATCGACCAAGACATTTATTCGTTGAATAAGATAAGCAATCATAATTTTCATAGTACGTTGCTTCCGTATCGTCAGAGTTTGTCGTGAACATCGCTCCTGGACGGTACAACGGATTGGGTAAGGGGCTTGACGAGGTGCGGTATTACATAATCATAGTGTCAAATTTGGTTGCGTTTCACGGTGTCACCACGACTCACATTCGTCGTTGAAACTTAAGAAAGAATCATCACAATCTCTTCTTCCACAACTTTAGTCTCAACCACCCTGAACCAGTCCTAATTATTCCACAAAGAAACTTCACATAGTCACCGTGTTTACTTGCGCAGCCGTTAGCTATCCACAAACTATTCATTCGGGAAGCGGATGTGGTACGTACATTCTTTCCTAATACACACTGCATCCTACAGCCATCAACAGATACATGAAACATATATGACCTAGGGTACTAGTAATATAACCCACCGGACCTGAGATAGTCGTCTCATAATGTAGATGCTGTGTTTGATTTCCTCGCATTCTATTCACGAGTGTAGCCAATATTACTACACCCCTAAGACGTATAAGTGAGTACTTCTAGCACTGCCTAAAGAAGATTTTCCGTGCACACTGACCACTCGTCTAGCCGTTTATGCGCTGCGGTGTACAAGGATGGCACAAAATTTACTTCATCTATTTAATTGAACGTAATCCATTGCCTTCGTCCATGTGAAGGGGTGCATGTTTGGTCGATATAACGACATTGCACAAATTCACAGAAGCATGACTCACGATTCAATACGCTTCGAAGTTCTTTGCACGTCCAGTCCGCAGACTTCGACTATTAGCGGCACCGGTGGATATAGGGTTGCTCTTATATTCTGCGGTCTTGACTCCCGCTTTTCCACTCGCCATCATGTCTACCGAGTGTTTTCTGCGAGGTATGTCGTATAAACCAAGTAACCCAAGTCAAATTGATCCAGAATCGATGTAGTGATCCGTGTTGAAGGTGTTCAATGGCCAGAGCTCTTTGGCAATGAGCCGAGGCTATATGTACAAGCTCGACTCGGGAATGCCACGAAAAGGACACGAGAAATCAAAGATACGGCAGAATCCTGGAATGAACTTCTAATTTTGTGAGTATACTCAATCAAGAAAATATACTATGTGTTAAAATCCTGGAATCAGGCCTCAAGACGCATCCATTGATCTTTCAATCAAGTTGTTTCATCGCGAGAAGTTACCATTTCGAACTGATATTTGCGTTGGATCAATAACCACTCGGCTGAGCGGACTCCCGAGTAAAAGCGCCAATGGAACAGGTGAGCTACTTGTAATCTCGCTGGATTAAAGCTTGATCACGAGTCGAGTTTCGGACTTAGTCCCGTTGACTTTATTGCCTGGCGACAAGAATGTTGGAAGCCCTGCTGTGATCGTTCGTTTGCTAAACCCGCCTAACATGCTGGCGGATATCGAAAATGACGTCGAAGCGGCAACGCGTGCCGTGCTCGAGCTAGTCAATGCTGCCGAAGATCTAGACACGGTTGATCAAGGAGGAATCGCACTAAGTGACAATGAAGATTTCTGCAGAAAGTTCTTGGACATCGCAACTAAATTGTCGGTGTTCGTCGACTTCGTGGATGAGCTAACTAAGGCATGTTCCGTGATTAATGTGGTAAACAATGCATGCTCATAGTCAATAGATCAACCCGTATGTTAACGCTGCATGGCGATTGACGTCAGCAGTTTACAAGGTATTCTTAGTCTACTTCACGGTTACTATACATTAGTTGATTAATTTGTATTTAGGCTATTGCGCACCAGAGGGAGACGGATCATAAACTCGCTGATTTAGCCCATGCCATGAAAGATGCATACGACTTTGTGACTGACGCTGAGGCACTTCCGAACAAAGCCCGGAAACTACAGCAAACAATCAACGAGCTCTTATACCAGACGGCTAAATGCTGCCGTTTTATCCTTGATTACACTAAGCGCGATTTCCTTGGTGAGTATTGCAAAGGGCTTTAACTTCTCAGCAAGTGACTTTGCACAATAGGCCGGATGCTTCATTTGAGCAGGCCGAAGGTGGACAAATTCATAAAATGCTTCGATGAGCTCAAGACGGTCCTGGAGTCCAATGTTGGGCTGCATAATGCGCTTGTTTTAACGCGGATGTCTCAGAAAGTCGATGAAATGTCTCAGAAAGTCGATCTTATACGTGAGTTCGTACGTGCATACGGATTTTCCTTGTTGAAGAGCTTTGGGCCAGATCTAAAAGATGTGCTTATGCCAATTTCTATGGACGCATTCTATCGTGGTACATGTTTGCCAGGCACGCGCGAGGAAATCCTTATCGAGATCATGGACTGGATTCGATCGGATACGAAACAGAATGCCTTATGGATTAGAGGCGTCGCGGGCTCTGGGAAAAGCGCGATTGCGACAACAGTTGCTGAATATTGCCGCAATGCGTCGATATTGGGAGCCTTTGTATTCTTCAGCCAGGCCAGCGCTGCCGACCAACGTTCCTCTGTATTTCGGACCATTGCTTTTCAATTAGCAGAATCGAATTCAACTATCGCAAGATATGTCGAAGCAGCTGTGAAACGTAACAAGCATATCACCAGAGCTATTGCAGAGGTCCAGTTCAAGGAGCTCATTTTGGAACCACTCAAAGCGACAATAAACGAGGTGCAAGGTCCTGTCGTCATCATTATGGAGTCATTAGACGAGTATGGCCCGCCAGACAATCGACGGAGTCTGATGTTACTTCTGAAAGAAGCGTTCGGAGGTTTACATCCTAGCTTTCGTTTCCTCATCACGAGCAGGCCGGAGTTGGACATTGTTGAATGGTTTACAGACGGGACAGATTTTGCGTACGAATTTGTTTTGGACCACGACTCGCAAAGTAGCAAGCGTGACGTCCTTCACTACATCGATTACGAGATGCGTAAGGTCATTGGAAGCACAAAGATACCAATAGCTTATCCATGGGATGAACACATGAACAAGCTTGCAGACGCGTCGGAGGGTTTATTCATATGGGCGTCGACAGCCGTCAAGCTGGTATCATTGAGCCCTAGGAAGCTCTCTAAACTTCGAAAAATTGTTGATAACTCACACTCGCTGAAGGGCCTTGATCAACTCTACAAATCAATCCTTACCGACTCTGGGGCTATCGCAATAGACGATCTGGAGTCCATTACTCGCTTTTCGCAAGTCATGGGACTCATCTTGCTCAGCGAAGTCCCGCTCTCGGGTGACCTTATAGATGCAATCCTGGGCTTTTCAAAAGAGGAGACGTCGCGCGAAATTCTTTTGAAGCTACGGAGCGTACTTGTCTTTGCGGAAGGAGAATCAATTCGTCTCCTTCATGCATCGTTCGCCGATTATCTCTCTTCGACACCTTGCCCCAAACCATGCGTCGCGCATTCGGATTCATCCGATTGTTTGTCCGGCCCCTGGTTCATTGATGTCTCCTATCAAACGTCGTTCATTGCTAAACGCTGTTTCGAAATCATGAAGAATATGCTTCATTTTAATATGTGCTGCCTTGAAACATCATTCAAACTTAACAGGGACGTTTCTAACCTCGAAGATTGCGTAAAAGATAACATACCTCCACATCTGGAATTTGCGTGTACGTATTGGTCCCGACATCTTTGCGACGTTCCGTACTCGCGCGACTGCAAGATTTCACACGAGTTGATAGCGGAGCTGAAGTCCTTTACGCATAATCGCCTGCTGTATTGGTTGGAAGTGCTCAGTTTACTCGGCAGGATTGGAGCGTACAACGTTAGTTATAACACTGCTTCTCGAGCGCTCATGGCCGGAGCTGCATGGTCTGAGGTGAGCATGGTTGAGCTATGTTCCACGCGATTACTCACTTTGCATAGGCGCACAATGAGGGCATTTCGTCTTTCTTGAAGGACGCAGGGAAGCTTGTCTCTATGTTCGCTAAGATGATCGGCGAAAGCACGCCGCATATCTACATCTCCATGATTCCACTGATGAAAGAAGAATCGAAAGTTGCAGCACACTACTCACATCGTTCGGTCTTTGCTGTACAAATTAACCGAATAGAGACAAAACGAGTGCCAATATGCTTGAAAGGCCGTGACGTGGAGAGCCGAAAAGTCGACTGCAGTTCATTGACTGGTAACGCAAATGACATTCGTTCGGTTGCCTTCACTCGCGACCGATGTACCGCCTCTCGCTCCCGAGATGAGACGACTCGCATCTGGGACACATCAGTTGGGAATGTCGACCGTGGCATTTCATTTTGCCACACGAGTAAGATTCTTTCTGTCGCTTATTCACCGGACGGTAGCCGTATCGTCTCGAGCTCCAAGGACGGAACGATTGGACTTTGGGATGTTATGACCTGCAAATTGGCTCGTGCTCCCTTTGTTGGGCATAAGGATGCCGTCAACTCTGTCGTATTTTCACGTGATGGGCTCCGTATCGTCTCCGGGTCTAGCGACAAGACAGTCATACTTTGGGACGCTACGCTCGGGAAAATCGACGTAGGACCATTGACAGAACACACAGGTGGTGTCTACTCCGTCGATGTTTCACCTGATGGTACCTGTGTGGTGTCGGGTTCTGAAGACAGGACCATTGCTATCTGGGACGTCGCAAGTGGCGAAATACGTTCCCGGTTTAGAGAAGTGCATCAGCATTGGATTGATGCTGTTAGATTCTCACCAGACGGCAGGCTCATCGCATCGGCGTCGCGGGACAATGTCACTATTCTGTGGAACGCTGAAACAGGGGATGTTGTTTCTGGTCCTTTCAAGACTGACAAAGTTGAGTATTTGTATGATGCACCTTTGTCCTTTTCCCGTAACGGGACGTGTCTTGCATCACGAAGTGGGGACGATGGCATCATAGTGCGGGACGTGGGCAACGGGCGCATCATGTATGGACCTTTGGCAGGAAGCAGTGGACAGATTTCCTCCATTGCCTTCTCGCCTGACGGGCGATACATTGCGTCAGGTACAAGTGGGGGTGAAGTTATGATTTGGGATGTGAGTACCGGGACGAGCACACCTCAGTCTTACGAAGGCCATACTGGAGGAGTTGCATGTGTTGCCTTTTCTCCCGATGGATTACACGTCGTTTCCTGTTCGGACGACAAAACGATCAGAACTTGGAATGTGTTAGACCACAGGGGCTCTTCTGCAGCAATTGCTACTGTTGCAGACAATGTATTATCCCCTCCGTCCGTCAGAACCTGCGAAACTGGTCGTGCAGCAGCTATTTACAAAAGCGAAGACCAACACTATATTGACTGGTCTTTAAACAAGAGTGGTTGGATATTAGGTGCTAGAGGCGAGCGTCTTTTGTGGGTCCCATATAGTATTCGTCGTACACTCTGTCGACCCCAAAACACGGCCATTCTCAACCGCGGACTTTCGACGAAGGTGGAGTTTAATGGCGCTGCACTTGGAAGAGGTTGGTACAAATGCTTTGACCCGGCGATTGATATCCCTTATTTGGAGATGGAAGCAATAATCACTAATCTCGAGATCGAGACAGCAGCATACAATCAGGAGATCCAGACAGCGGTCACTTTAGTTCCCGACCAGAATATTTCTGAAGTTCAAGGCTTTACACCCTTGCTGGACTTGTTCGCTCTCTTTGTCTTTGCAATCGTCGATTTTATCCATTACTGTCTTTTGTAAAGCATTCAGTAGGCGTGCCGCTACTCTATACATCTACTATTATACATAAAAGACACATTGCAATCTGCAGTTGTATACTCCAATCAATTTTGCCTCCTCTAGACAAACGACAGCATGCGACTAATCAAGGTAGTTCATGAATGCCAGCTCGACAACAAATAGGTATGGTATGGTATGGTAGTGTTGTATGCAATGGAATCAACAGTGAAAGCACGCACGAAAGCCAGAGAGCAGATTGGGCGGCACGCAATCAGAGGATGCAGAAGAGTCACCGCGTCTTCGCTGCATGTTGACGTTACTCGAGACATAGAACCCGCACACGTGAGAGGATTTGATAGGTTCTGCATGCGTAGCCTAGTCTGGGTGGAGGAGGGCTATGCGATCAAGACCAGTTCTCTCTCCTTGGCTGTTGTCAAGTAAGACATTTTTTATGCATTGCGTTAGATTGGCACTTTAGTCTAAAATGCTTGGCTGAGACACATGCTGAGACACATAGTGACATACCATACCATGTGCTTGTGATTCACGGCTGACAGTGCCTCATCTCGATTCTCGACTGCCATCTGCCTCATCTCGGGTGCCATCTGACCACCAATATACTACTATCCAACACCACAGAATGGATACTGATGTCCCTATGCCCGGCTCAAGGTAAACTGTCTGACCCTGTGCTTCTTGTCCCGAATTGTTGTACTGACACCTTTTATAGAGCAGCTCCAGACGCCACGAAGACCTGACCACAGTGTCTTGTCCTGTTCGTTCACAACAGCAGAATTGAAGGAAAAGATGAACTATAAGTATAGTCCTGGCAGCCCGGAAGCCTCTCTTGACTCAGATAGTATGTTATTTAGTACTCATTCAATGCAACAACTCCTGGCTCACTTTACCAAGCCCCTGACGGCCAAGAAGCAAAGGAACTCATTGTCCGCCAGGAAGGCCTACTACGACTTCTTCGCAGGCACAGTTCTGATCAGTCCATGGTGGTACTTGTTACTCGAGAGGTATTGAAGGCGTCTATTTCGCAGGGGAAGATGTTGAAAGATTAGAGGGCAAAGCTGAGGAAACATGACTGTGACCTGGAAGACATTCGCCAACAGCATGACTGTGGCATGTGAGAAATGCAACGACGCTTTGCAGAAATGGAACTTAAACTGCAGAATGTGCGTGGTTTTATTTTATTAGGGATGACTTGCGTTTATGATCCCATAGCCCGAGTTCCACATGATCACTTCGGGCCTCCGCCGCTTGCCCGAGATCTCACGCTACACCGTCGCAGTGGCATTTCAGACCATCTGGGGACCGATTTGCTATCCTCCAGCCATCTTTCGCAGTGAGAAGGAAGGTGATGCTGCGGGCATAGATTTCCATCGTTTCAAAGTGACTGTCCAACAGCACTACCGCAAACGCTTCAATCAGCAGTCCCCTCTCTGGACCTATCATAACAGAGAGGATAGGGTGTCGATCCGCTCACTGAAGCTGCGGAAAGCAAATAGCGCTGATTTCAAAGTTGACTTGGATAAGGCAGAAAAAGACTTCGAAGATGTCAACGAAATGATTACACACCATGCACACCATGTCGAAGAAGACCATTCTGGTGAATTGCGCGCTACCGAGGAGACCTTCTCTGCATTTGCAGACGACTTTCTGATGGCTCACAAGCTTGCCCACGATGAAACTTGCGCTGCTCTAAATGCACTCGTTTCTGATAAGCTTGAGAATGAGATGACTCCAGCTGAGCATGCTGCAGGCCTGCTCGGCAAGGTCGACGCCTGGAAGCGGATGGTTGGTGAACTGGAAAGAACGCTTGCTGATGCTGAAGAGCGAAAGAGACTCGATCAAGAACTTGCTAGGTCAGGGCAGAAGTCTAGTCGGATATACCTTGTACGCAAACTTGTCCTCTCTACCAAGAAGGCAATAATGGCACGTAAGAAGGCTTCTGCCATACGGGGAACGTCTTCCAATGCTGAAGAGAGCCTGGACAAATTGAAACGTCTGAAATCAGTGTACGATAAGAAGCTTGCAGCGTTGCAAAGGATTGGGCAAGGTGCTGCTATCATATTTGACAATAGCCTATTACGAGTATTCGTGGACCAAGGTCTTCCCCTTCGCACCTTTATAAAGGAGGTTGCACACGGGATCTGATTGAACACAGATGACTTCAAAGCATCCATCATGAACGTACGTCGCGTGTTCCCTTTCGATCCAAATACCATGAATGGGCTTCAAGTGCTCTTTGATGTAGCAATTGAGACAAGAGACGATAGACGTTTCGTGCCATCCAGGGACTATGAGGCAATTCTTTCCGAAATGGAATGGCCATTGCCTGATCTCTCTGGAAGACCTCGATTCAAATACGCAACGAACACGTTTGTAAAACCCAAAGGAAGGAGCGAATTCAAGGTCGAGGAGGAAATCGTCAATATCCCGGGCCAGGGGAACAGAATATTGCAAGTGCACCTTCCCGGCAAACCTCTGTCCCAGCGCAAATGGCACTCAGACTTCCAGAATCTGTAATGTATCCTATCAGCAGCGCTTTCAGTCGCATCTCATCTTCCTTTTGTTCATACTCTTGTTGTGTGTAGTCTGTGTCGAGAAGTATTAGGCGGGGTCAGACCTGGCGATTCGAGACGCGATTCACAACGCGATTCTGGAAGCTGAATCGCGTCCTGAATCGTGTGTGAAGGTCTGACCGCCCAATTTTCAAACAAGAGATTCTCCTTTAGATTTACTAGTAAATACCTATAATAATCCTAACTTCATAATAAATTCAATGCATGAAGAAAGTACATAACTTATATGCATTTATTGAAGCATATCCAATATTATACAAATTGGTGATTTTTCACAAAGAGAATCCCTCTATTTGATAAAATACTATATTAAAAGCATTATAAGAATACAGTTTATTTATAAAAAAATTAATTTTTTGAAGATTCTATAATGAAATTATATTTTACACACATTTAGCATAATAAATACATGTATCTTATGATAGAAATATACTTGAGAGAGAGTGAATCGTAGGGGTGAATCGCAAGTGAAGCGCGTTTTGACGCGATTCACCCCGAATCGCCGGAGTTCCGCGGTCCGCGATTCACTTTCACGCAAAGTGAATCGTGCAGGTGAATCGCGCGTAGAATCGCGAGGTCTGACCCCGCCTATATTTAGTGTCCACTGTTTGCATCCTTGTTCCTCGTTTATTTATTCTTAGTGTATTAGGTGGTATACTACTGTCACAGCAGACAAATTAGAATTTAATATATAATTGTAGCCCTGTCCGCACACACTAGTCCAACTTTTCGATGAATTCGTGCTCTGCATTTAGTGGTTCTCAATTCTTTGGGGAGGGCCTTTGGCGACGCGGCATGGGTTGTAGTGGTGCCAGGGGTCATTAAGCTAGAGATCTGCCGGCCGAAGGTAAAAATGTAATAATTACTGTATTCGTACAATCGCGTCCAAGAGCTCTTGAGTTCTTGCAGTCGATCGGAGTATGAAAATAAACGTTAGATTAGCTTTGTGAGAACCTAGTAACAAGAAGCCTGACATAAGCAAGACGCGATCCCGTGACTGCAGAGAGCATATACATACACAGCGTGAAAGTATATACAGATTTTCTCGAGTGATTGACAGATTTTGTGTCTGCCTGCCCCCTCCGAAGACATGCCTGCTTTGTGTGATAAGCATAGGATTCTAGGAACCAAGTTCTCCCTGCTTTCTGCTTTACTTTTGACTCTAAGATTGATGAGTATGTGGAGCTAAGTGTGGTGAACTTGCACTACTGTATTGGTCTTGTATTTTCACTGTTCTGGCTAAAAGAAGGGGGATTTGCACTGGTGGTTGTGGGTTATTGGGCTCTGTGTGCACACATATACACATAAACCAGAATTCAGCACTGTAAACTGGGTGCAATTAGTAAAATCAGTGTAAAAGTACATATGAAAGCTGTAGGACAGATTTGGGCAGTGAACAAGGGCCAGTGACACTATAGAGTGTAGAGCTTGTGGAAGAGTAGCACACAGGTGAAGGCATTCAAAGAGGACCCAGTAGAGGTGTGTATAGATTAGTGGCTAGGCAAATCAGGCTACCCAGAACTGGTGCCTGTAAGTTGATCTACACACACTACACACCTATCACAGCTTCCTTCTGAGCAAGGTCCCTTTGACAGACATTGTGATACATAGGATTCTGGGATTTTTATCATCCAGAAATCCATTATGTCTGATTCTTTCTAAGTTACAGAGTGTACTTATTTTCACACTAGGAGAACCTATTTACTTCCTTCATATATTATTTGCTAACTATCTTTCAATGAATCAATGACACCTATCTCTGTTGTGGTTTGTCTACCCCTGTCCCAGAAGTCATTGTAATCATGAATGAATTGCTACACTTTACTTAAAGGACCAGATGGCAAACTTCTTCTTTGGGTTCCTGACAGTACTTGTAGCACACTTTAGCAGCCTGGAAACACAGCTATTTTCAACTGTGGGTTTTCAAAAAAGTTCGATTTCAAGGGGGCTGCTCTAAGACACTACTAGCAATATTTTGTTTTAATCCAGACAGTAGACACTGTAAGGCCAGCCAGAATAGTCTTTGACTCTTTATAGTATTACCTTCTTACACTAGTTAATTATTGTATGTCTTTACAAATGTGGTTTTCTTCCATTACTTACTATCCTTTGTGTTAAGACAAGACTACACAAGAGTATGTCTCAGATGATATAAACTACATTACAAGCAATAACAAACAATGATGGAATACCTTCTATTATACATTCTACATTTAAGACATACCTACATAGTATATATAGACTAACTAATCAACAGACAATGAAGCAAGCTGTAAGAGAGCAAGCTAAGTCTACTATCCCCCCCTCTTTGTGTGATCCCTCTAAGCCTCTCACATAACCTCTCTTCCCTTTCTTAACAGGTTATGAGCCTTGAGCTCCCTGCCTACACTTTATCTACACTCTACTATATCTATACTCTATACAGTTCTATACATCACATGTATGTACACAGTATACTATAATACAGAACTTGACTCACCTGTCTGAGTATCCCAAACACAAATCAATACACTACAGACACATGATCTACTATACTACATACAACCCAGACATTATAATTCTTTCGTTTGTTGTTAGTATGTATTTACACAATTGTATTAATGTGTAAAGTAGTATCATTTGTTTAATAATTATAATTTTGCACTTGTCTTGTGCTGTAGTTAGTATTTATACATTATAACATTATTTCTTTGTGTGTAGTTAGTTTATACACTCTGTAGTGTTGTTTTTTGGTTTGTAGTTATTCATTATACTTTTGTATATCTGTACTTGTCTGTATATCTTAGATATGTGTATTATATTCAGTATCTGATAAGTAATTGCAATATCCAACATGTAACTGCTGAATCCAATATGTTACATATAATTGCTTGACCATAATATGTGTTAGTTATTATATTGTTCCATATTTGTTCTGTTAGTTCTATCTGTATTATTATCATTATTATTGTTATTATTGTTGTTATTATAGTGTCTGCAATTGTATTATTGTTTATAATACATGTTAAATGTTTTATTTATTTGATTTAATATACTGTTTAGCATATATACACTCGTTTTGAGCATTAATTGTGTTTACTTTATTAATCTTTTTAATGTTTGTCCATAGTATGATCAGTTAATTTATTATAACATGATCTCTATGATATTATAGAATATTTTAGCATTTAAGTGTTACAGTTAGTAAAACTCATTGTAGTTTCAACATTACCTGTATAGATTACATTACTACTAGGCTAATAATCATAATTACTAAGATGATGATCATATATCTTGAATATACTCAAAACAATGTATCAATACAACTTAATTACACAGAATGTGTTATCACAGCAGCTGATTATATAATAAATTTCGAAGTTGCAACAGTAACATCAACTGTACAGCATATATACCTTAACAAACAATTATTAAATTTACATTGTGACAATGTAGCTTGTAGGAGTAAAGTATTAAGCTGATAAGGCTATTACAATGAATAATACAAATATAATTATTACAAACACATTATTATAATAATTACAATCAAAAACAGTCATAATATAATATGATTAAATAAATTAATAAAATGTTTAAGCCATTATCTTAGACAGTATAATATAAAATAGGTAATAACAGATACAAGTGTACTTAATAGAACTCAGCACACTTATTAAAAGTACTACATAAATAATAATTATAACATTATTAAATGAATATTATACAGAAACAAACAAATTACCATATGTTTTCAACACAAAAACAAAATATTCATTCATAATTACAAACAATAATTAATAAAAGATAACAAGTGTGTACATAACTTGTAACATAATATGTACCTATCTACTATAACAAACAAAATACACATTATATAAGTTGACAAACATTAACAGTATCAAAAATATAATAGTAATAACATTTAAATTACTTATTATCAAACATAACAAATGTTACACACTACTTTATAATACTAATAATTAGAAATCGAACCACAAAAGCAATTACAATTATATATATAAATATTATATTATAACAACAATTAATAAACATTAAAGAAATATCCAATTCTTTGAAGAAATACCTTCTTGAATTGAAGGGGAGAAAATGGATAATATGTACAAACAATTATAATATGCATGAAAAATTAATAACTAAATATAAACAATAGAACAGAAAGTATAACACTATAGACACTACAAAAAATAGAATAACAAAATGTACAGACTAAGCACTGACTAAGTAATAGAAGTTATGGACAGACATAACAGATCATAAAGGTAAATCATTCAGTACAAAGCAAAACTATGTTGATTAGAACTAAATAACAGAAGTCAATACAATGTGCAATTGAACTTTAATGTTAAATAAATAATAATTCTACTACAAAACAAATGCTCATACTTGGCAAATAATATTAATATGATAATATAATTAACTCAACAGAGTTTAATACAAAAATAAATAATATACAGACAATTATCACATTATATAACAAAATAATTCATTAACCTAGACTATAGTTCATGGATAAAAGTGATGAATAATGAAAATAATACTTTGGAACATACATAAAATGATAAATAATATATCCATAGGATAATAAGAATATAATTGCAATATAATTCACAACTACAACTGAACAATACACAGATAATAACTATATAATCAAGTATGGAGTGTATACATATAATTAAATAAAACTATTAAATCAATTCTTGTACAAACAATTAATTTGCCCTCACTGTGTGATTAATACAAGCATGAACAGTATTATAACACTATGAATTACATTGGATAGATATTAAAAGGTATACCTATACAATGATTCAAATAAAATAAATAAAACCAATATATAAAACGTTTTACCTAGCAAACCAATTAACAAATAAAACGTTGAACAAATACTACAATTGTGTATAACACTAGATTAACTAAAGAATGCTAGGAAACAATTATAGTAAA